AGGTCTCCCGCGGCTTTCACGGCATCGGGATCGGCGCGGCAGAAGGCACTGGCACACTGGCAGCGCTGCTGCTGCGATTGTTCGCCGACTCGCTGCCCGATTCGAAAACTTCTCTAACTGAGAAATAAAGCTTAGTAAGGCCACTCACCAAGTTCTTTTTCTATCGATCTGGGAGCACCGCAGCAACCATTAGCGGATGCACACTCCCGCTAGCACAGCTGTTAGCGCAAGAGATTCCGCACTTGTGCCTAACGCCAAGAGCTCTCACGAGAGCGCTCTCTCAAACACACGTGGTGCAATGGAAAATTGCCAACTGGGAAAACTGAGAATTTCAGTAAACGTCACTTTTCCACAACGATTTTGACGTTCAATTGGTCACAAGCAAAAAACGCAAATTTTAATGCGCTTAGCGTTCTAATCCACCGATTTATCACAATAATGAGGAGCCCGAAAAACACATGTCCGGACTCATTTTACCCTCACTCCGTGAATCCTCAGACATCTTCGTGGCGGTGCAAAAAATTAGTTTAAAAAATGCATTCACTCAATTGAAAACAAAAAATAACAAAATTTTCAACAATTGCAAGCAAATGTGAACCGTGATTCCTCACGCTCCTCATCCATGCACAGCTACGCGAACAATACTATCCGTCCGCGTACTCAAGCCAAGGAGCTTAGCACTGTTTCCGGCAATGTTACCACTCCGCAAACGCAGAAATCGAATTTACAAACGGAGAAAAAATTAAACACGTCTGATAGGGACAGTAAGAATCGGATCCCCCCGCTCTTATCTAACGTGGCATGTTTCACAATAAAGGAAGTATATAATGCACGGGTCTAGGCAAAGCGCCAAACGAACGCCCCGGACTAGAAGCTATAGCTATTACATAGCAACTACCCCAGTAGCAATTTAAGTATTTACTTGTCGGGCAGGCACTCCCTCTTGCGTAGGGGCGAGATCTATCTAAAATCTCTACCGTTCTGTGGGTCACAGCACCCGAGTTGTATAACGCAACATCCACGTCGAGCCCGAAGACTCTACCCGCGATATAGGTGTCAACCACAGCCACCACGATACTCCCACTCGGGGGTCAACCTCAATGAGCAGTCCTGGAACTGCTCGACCCGTGGTACCGAAATTACAGGCTCGGTAGGCCTCACCCCTTCAGCTCCGAAAAGCTCGGATGGGCCAACCATTGCCATATTAGCCGCCTCCTACGACAAGCTATGACAGGCTGTGGCATTATTTTTCGCCGCTACCATACGGCAGGAGAGGGGTGGGAGTAACGTCCCGGCGCTTGCGGTTCATCCCTCGCCGCATCCATCCTTCGCCTTGAGAAGGCAGCATCGGCATAGACTCCTAGGAGACGCATCCGTTCTGGGGTCTCGGCTACTCCCGAAACGATCCATCTTTCCTGGTCTCAAACGACTCCAAGGGCATCCAGGTCCCATAAATCGTGGTACAGGCGGCATTCACATAGTATGTGAAGCCAGTCCTCTCCACGCCACATGAGCATGCGGTCGTGGTACTGAGAGTCCTGCCCTGCAGAAATGCGTTCATCGACCCGTGTCTTGTCAGCAAGAATCCGGCTTTCAGGGTAAAGACAATGTCTTTCCTCTTGTAAACGAACGCTGCCTCTGGGAAAAACTCGCGAGTCACGGAGCCGTGTTCCGCGCGATCCCATCTGAGTTGCCACTCATTTAGCAGACGTTCGTCTAGCAGAGCCATCTTAGCTTTCCAGTCCAACACAGACAAGTCCTGTCCGTGGAGCCAGGGGAACATCCTTCCTCAGCTTGAACTTCGCTGTAAACCGTCCTCTTAGCACGGGAGCTAAGCCCCCAATCGACTCGGAGCACCCGCCCTCCGGCAACTCCAGCTAGCCGATCTCTAAGAGCTAAGATATGCTGGAGAAAACTCAACCGCTCGCCGACTAAGATGCCAGGGTACCGGCATTTGGTGACGTAAGGCAGACTTGCTCCAGCAAACCGTACCGTCGGTCTCCTTGTGCGTGAAAGCTGCCCTTTCAGCAACATTTTTGCCGTCTTGCTGGTTGACACACTCACTCCAACCTCTAATAAAAATCGGACGACTCTAACATATAGCTGTCAAAGAAACGGTCAGAGAAATAATGAAATATTTATTATACCCTTGCAGAGGGTATTATGATTTCAGTCTTAAGTTTGCAACGCAGTGAAGGAGACGTTTTCGACCCCATAAAGTATATATATATCAGCATCACTAGACGAGTCGATCTAGCCATGTCCGTCTGTGCGTCCGTTTCTACGCAAACTAGTCTCTCAGTTTTAAAACTATCGGGCTGAAACTTTTCCAAAAGTCTTCTATCTTTTGCAGGTAGTATATAAGTCGGAGCAGCCGGATCGGACAACTATATCTTTTAGCTCCCATAGGAATAATCGGAAAAAAAATTTTAAAATGTATTTTTTTGATGTTTTTTAACATATATCCTCCTACGACGACCTTATCATATAACTGCCATAAATTTTTTCATATCTTGCTTGTTAAAGCAACATATTAAGGGTACTGTCCGCTGTGAAGTTTAAACGAGCAGCCTATGGTGTCCTCTCCCATTAAAATTTAAATATTTTGAAAAAATATAAAACATCATCGATATATCGATATTTTAAATTGATATTTTCAATTATCATGATATTTTTTCAAAAACCAAATATCATCGATACGATATTTTTAAAAAATTCGACAGCCCTAGTCGAGACTCTAGAATGAGCTTTTCTTGCGACGCGTAGAACATACTACGGGAATGTTCCGACTCCGACTGCGCAGATGAAAGCAGGTCGAATAGAGTGGCAATTTATAAAGACATTTTTATCTCCTGTTGTGACGTAATTCCTCTCGCTCTCTTTGCCCCCGCTCCCTTGGACCTCCTGCATTAAAATGCAACGCAATACAATCCTTCAAGGTTTTAAAAGTTTACCTTTCCTATCTACGCTAAGACAGGATCCAAAACTATTTGAAATATCAGATAATGCTACAATTTTGGAATTGACCAGATAAAAATACATGTCTTGTAACGAACCGCTACACTTATAAAAACTTTAGGCCAGATGTTACCTCGAGATGCCAGCGCACGCGATAAGTTCTTCTCCGGCTCTGGCTCTTCGGCTATGGGTGTGATGGTCTTGCCGACATCTCGGAATGCCTTTTCCTAATAAAACTCCGATATTGGCGTGCCTCACCAATCTGACCGGTATAGAGAATATCACACACTTCATGATGCTGGACCTTTCTTATATACTCCCTTTCCGACTGATCTGCCCTTCTCGCCTCCCTCGATGTTCTGGAGGTCTTGGTCATGCCCACCCTACCAATGGTCGCTCTTACCCTCAGCGCTTAACAGCCTGAGCGACCTCTTCTTTTTCAAGTGCACACCTTCATTGCATGTCAACGCCAGCCGCGGCCAACACTAATTCCTTTTAGCACATTATAAAAATTTTAATTATAGTAAAATACAAACACAACTTATCCTAAGGTAAACGATTTAAAATCTCATGCGAATAGACGACAATTTAAAAATTATAAGATTAAAGACTTTTGGGACAAAAACTGGTAAGCGATTTCTCAAATCCCCTTGGTGGACTTTGCCTAAATTATTAATGGTACGATTTTTTTTTTTTTGCCGTGCTTGCCAATATCAGGGTTTCTTTATGGACATTTCGAATTCAAATTTTATGGAAAATTAATCAGACAATTTCGTCGACTGGCAAATAAAACTAAACTCAAAGCGAACGAAGAGCTTGGGATCTACGCGATCGAGCTTTCTTTAGCTCATGCTTTCCCGGTTCGCTCAGACGTTGTCGTAAATTTCTTTCTATTCCTTGCTCATTCGGCCGTCCCTTCTGATCTTTTCTTCTTACGTCTCACCCTCCAATTTATTCCATTTCCTTCCTACTCCCTTTCTTTTATGTAATAAAAAGATGAAGATTTGGACTCACCACTGTTTCAAATCCATCGACGAAAGCGCTTTCTTCGGGATGATGAGAGCTGTGAAGGGGGAAATAAAATGCAAAAAAAAAGAAGAGGGGAAAAGGAGACACTCATACCGACACAGCAAAAATGTAAAAATTCATTGCATGCTCGCCTTTTTCTTCTTTCTTCCTTAGCTAGCTGCCCAAAGCACTATTACACCCACATATTCACAAGCACCAACACAAAAAACTATGCTTACACTTAATTTGCTTAAATTATGTTCTAACCGCCGACTAACTCGCGGGCAGTAACTACAGGCTTTCACCGACGCGTGCGGATGGTGCAAAAAAAACGTTTACTTCCGCGTAAATTGATTTTTTTCTAAATTCTTCTTTTTGCGACGGAGCGCAACGAAGGCGACTGGCGTGATTCGATCCGTATAGGAGACTGAAAGCTCCCGCTTATGCGTGGCCAAGCCTCTCTTTTACGGCTCAATTTAAATTTTGCTGTCGTAGGTCGGGATTTTTGTAACTTCTAACGCTGCGGGTATCTAAATTGGAACTCTCCTCTCCTTCTTATTTCTCAAATACACGGCCTGTACCGCCTCGGGTTATGGGGTCACACGCAGCTGGTAAAATTTGGGCCAGGCTAGGTTGAAATTGTATATATAAAATTAACGCTCGATTTCCAACGCTGCTGCCGCCGACTTTTCAGCTTGGCCGCCGATTTTCCCGCTTGCGTTTGGCACCAAGATCCACATCCGTTTTCTTTTTCTTTCCTTCTCCAGCGCCTTCTCGCGAACTTTCCGAATCGCCTACAGCCGACCGCCTACAATAATTTTCCGGCTGAACTCAATTTCCTAAACACTCCCTTTTCTATCAAAAACTCACCAGTCTGGGCGCGATCCAACCGAAAACTAAGCAAGTGGAAAATTTCCCTTTTAGGTCACTCGCGAACTGACTTGAGTTGACTGCGTCTATACGCTGCCGCTGCCGAAAAGGAAAAGACAGCATCCGCCGCTGCCGACCCGCCGGTAACCTCGATCGTGGGGCATGGTGAATTTCTAGAGCCGCTTGACATTTGCCGCTGTTATTCTCCTAGACCCACCAGCTACCTATAACCCCTTTCTGGGCCTGTCACAGGTGGCGCCACCGCTGGGTTTAATCGGACCCACAGATGGAGCTACTAAACCATCTAGCATTTTGGACAAGCGTTTCAGTCACAACCGTCTCCTACATTGCGTTGTAAACTTTCTTCTGAAATCATTATACCCTCTGCGAGGGTAAAAATATGGAAACATTTTTATTTAATATATCTTTGATGTTTTTTGATTGAACTTCTGATTTAAGAAATTAACGGTTTGATCGCGGAAACTTACATATTTCTCCATGTTCCCATATATTTTATCATCCACGTCCTTTAAGTGGTCCAGGGTTCTAATGGGGAAGTATTGCAGAGTTCACTGCCTTCAACTCCTCTAAATCAGCCCGCATCTTGCGAACTTCACTGCCCATCCCGGGAACTTCGTCTTCCAAACGTTGGATCCGACCTTCCAGCCCCGAGGACCTTTTCTCCTCCAAGGGCATCGGGACACTTTGCAATTCGAGGAAGTTATAACTAATTTTTCTCTTAAATGTGAACGGCAGCTTACTTACCGAAGTATGCACATTTTTGCAGATCGTTGCTATAGCTGCTTAAAGCAAAAAAGACAGAGAAAAAAAACACATAAAACTATTAGCCAAACGCAAATTTATAGAATTTAAAAATAAGTACCTGCTTTGATATAATTGACTTTGAAAAATAATACAAAAAAATTAAATTAAACCAAAAAGAAACATTAATAAATATACAATAAATTACTTTTATATTAAAATAAAAGGCGACAAATGAATTTTTGAGAGCACGCCTTAAACAAATGTAAGTTAATTATACCCGTTACTCGTAGAGTAAACGGGTATACTAGATTCGTCGGAAAGTATGTAACAGGCAGAAGGAAGCGTTTCCGACCCCATAAAGTATATATATTCTTGATCAGGATCACTAGCCGAGTCGATCTAGCCATGTCCGTCTCTCCGTCTGACCGTCTGTCTGTCCGTCCGGATGAACGCTGAGATCTCGGAAAGTATAAGAGCTAGGCTATCGAGATTTGGCATGCAGATTCCTGAGCTTCTTACGCAGCGCAAGTTTGTTTCAGCAATGTGCCTCGCCCACTCTAACGACCACAAACCGCCCAAAGCTGTGACTCCTACAGTTTTGATGCTAGAATAAAAATTTGACTGAAATGTATTGTCCTCATAAAGCCAAAAAAAAGTTTGCCACGCCCACTCTAACGCCCACAAACCGCCTAAGTCTGTGGCGCACACAATTTTCATGCTAGAAAAAAATGTTAACTGAAATGTTTTAGTCCCGTCAATACCTATCGATTGACCCCAAAAAAAGTTTGCCACGCCCACTGTAACGCCCATAACGCCTAAATCTGTCTACCATAACCATATATTGAGATCGCGAGTAGGTGGCGCATTTCAATATCATTTTACTGCTTTAGCTGAGTAACGGGTATCTGATAGTCGAGGTACTCGACTATAGCGGTCTCCCTGGTTTTTTTTTATGTGCATCAAGTTAGCAGAAGAACTTTTGATATCCAAAGTTTTCCTTATAGAGAATTTTCAGTTATTTAGCCGTAAATTATTATAAATAAATTATTATAAAAATCAAAATGTAATAAAACACGCGGAGCTGAACTTTTCTTTTTCACATTAAATATGCAAGTGACAAGAAATGCAAGAGACGAGAAAAACCGCGCGCTTCTTGCATGTTCCCTTTTGTTTTTATACCCTTGCAGAGGGTATTTTGATTTCAGTCAGAAGTTTGCACCGCAGTGAAGGAGACTTTTCCGACCCCATAAAGTATATATATTCTTGATCAGCATGACTAGACGCGTCGATCTAGCCATGTCCGTCTGTCCGACCGTTTCTATGCAAACTAGTCTCTCAGTTTTAAAGCTATCGGGCTAAAACTTTCCCAAAAGTCTTATTTCTTTTGCAGGTAGTATATAAGTCGAAACCAACCGGATCGGACAACTATATCTTATAGCTCCCATAGGAATAATCGGAAAAAAATTTTTTTTTTAATTATATCTTTGGTGATTTTCAACATATAACCTCCTAAGCTTGGAAACAACATTTTTTAATTAGTTTTGAATTTTGAATTAAATTTTATCAAAATCGGTCGACTATAAATTGGCGGGAAAATAATATGAAACAAATTATAGCTTCGGTGTTTTTTTACATATAACCTTCTACGTTTGAAAATAACATTTTTTAATTAGTTCTGAAATTCGAATTTATTTTATCAAAATCGGACGACTATATAATATAACTGCCATAGGAACGATCGGAAAATTGGTGGGAAAATAATATGAAACAAATTATAGCTTCGGTATATTATTACATATTACAATATATTCACGTCAAAAGGGCGTTTAATTTCAGGAGGTAGTGTCGAGCGGCAGTTTTATCCAGATGTCTACATCTCGCGCGCTCGCACTGCCGACCGCTCTCCCTCTCCATCTCTCCCCTAAGTCACCGCTCTGCTCTGGAGCGCTTAAGTTAAGTTAGGCTTAAGCAGTTCTTATTTCCAAGTGTACAAATAAACATCTGTGCACGTCGCGTAAAAACCCCAAACTACCCCCGTGTTTTTTTGCGTACCATTCGATCTTGGGGCTTCAACTATTTCCAACGATCAAGGCTTTAAGTACTAAGTAATTTATACTTACCGTTAAGGTATATCTTAACTAACGTCAGTACTCTCTCTGTGTGCAATCGGGTTTTTTTTAACTTGCTTACTGGCTTACTTTTTCCCCATTTAAAGTTGTTTGTGTTCAGTTTTACATTGATGGCATTGAATTAAAATGTTGGCAGAAAGGTAAAAATCATAAATTTTACATCTGAACGGGAATTTAAAAATTGAACAAAATTAATGATTTGGAGTAAATTTTTTTTTTTTAGATATTATAAGCGTGTGATTTTTTTCACTTCAATAAAAATGTTAATTTTTGAATGAAACTTAACTTATTTTTACTCTAAACTCACAATAATGATCTTAAAGATTTTTAATTTTATTTGTTCAAAATAATAAAAATTTTAAGGGAGCCTTTGTTAGTTTTTTAATAATTGTGTTCTACTTTTTGTACCCGTTACTCGTAGAGTACAAAGGTATACTAGATTCGTCGGAAAGTATGTAACAGGTAGAAATAAGCGTTTCCGACACCATAAAGTATCAAGTATATTCTTGATCAGGATCACTAGCCTAGACGATCTAGCCATGTCCGTCTGTCTGTCCGTCCGGAAGAACGCTGAGATCTCGGAAACTATTAGAGCTAGGCTATTGGGATTTGGCATGCAGATTCCTGAGCTTCTTACGCAGCGCAAGTTTGTTTCAGTTGCGTGCCGCGCCCACTCTAACGCCCACAAGGCGCCCAAAACTGTGGCTCATACAGTTTCGATGCTAGAATAAAAATTTTACCTGATATGTATTGTTCTCATCAATACCTATCGATTCACCCACTTTGAGGCCCACAAACCGTCCATAAGCTTCAAAAAATCCTAAATATGAACGCGGATATCTCGGAAACTATAAAAGATAGAGAATTGGGATTTCAGATTTAGATTCCGTAGCCTTGTACGCAGCGCAAGTTTGTTACGCGAATATGCCACTCTAACGCCCAAATTTTAACTGAAATGTATTGGTCTCGTCAAAACCTATCGATTGATCCAAAAAAATTTGCCACGCCCACTCTAACGCCTACAAACCTCCTAAAACTGTGGCACCAATAGTTTTAAGGTAGCTGGCTCATCACAATCTCCCTTTGCTGCTTACATATCTCAATCTTCCTTTGGTCCTTTTAGCTGAGTAACGGGTATCTGATAGTCGAGGCACTCGACTATAGCGTTTTCCCTTGGTTTTGGTATTAGCATTACTGTTTTCAAAATAAAGAATTGATTTTTCATTGGCATTAGATTTTCAAAAAGTAATAAATTTATTTTTCATCAGCTTTAAAATTATTTAAAAAGAATACACTTTCTAAAATTTATTCATTCGTCTCAACACAATAGAAATTGACAAAACCCGCTAGTCTAGCGAGTTCCGACATTCTGTTGTTCTGTTCTGTTCTGATGCCACCAGAAGTACGCACTCTTTGAGCACTGCTGGGATATTAGATCCATGCTTTCCTCGTCGATATACAGTTCTATCATCTCATTCGGACAGAGGTCCGCCACGAGATCGGGATCGCAGGGATCCACAGGGTTGCGATAAACGACACTCTATCGTCAATCGCAACCCTGTGGATCCTTGCGATCCTGATCTCGTGACGGACCTCTGTCCGAACGAGATGATCGAACTCTATATCGACGAAGACAGCAGAGATCTAATATCCCAGTAGTGCTCAAAGATTGTGAACTTTTGGTGGCATCTGAAGGTCGGATACACCAGAGAATCTCGTAATGAATTTGATTTCGGGTCCAGGTATGCAGAACATAGTGACCGTAAACGCATGCCCTTGGAGGTCTCAACGCAAGAAATTTGTAACGGCGCAAGTGGTCACTCGCCCAAAGCACCACTCGAGGATCAACAACGGACAGGAGTCCCTCTGCAGCAACGGGAACACCAACAGCCATCTCAATCGCCCAAGGAATCCATCGACAGATCCAACTCGCAGAACCAGACGATCAACCACAACTGGCAGGACCTATGCATCAATGCATCGATAGACCCGCAGAGCTAGGAGGATCCTGAAAGACACGGAAAATTTAATTTTATTTTGGTGTAAAAGAACTAGAACATTTTATGTTTTTACACAGCTAGTACATGAAAATATGAACTATTCGGAATCTAAATCTGAAGTCCCAATTCTCTATCTTTGATAGTTTACGAGATATCGGCGTTCATATTTACGATTTATTGAAGTTTGTGGCCGTTGAAGTGGGCGTGGTCAACTTTTTTTTGGTCAATCGATAGCTATTGATGAGAACAATACATATAAGTTAAAATTTTTATTCTAGCATCAAAACTGTAGGAGCCACAGTTTTGGGCGGTTTGTGGGCGTTAGAGTGGGCGTGGTACCTTACTGAAACAAACTTTCGCTGCGCAAGAAGCTTAGGAGTTTGCATGCCAAATCCCAATAGCCTAGCTCTTATAGTTTCCGAGATCACCGCGTTCATACGCACGGACAGACATACGGACAGACGGATATGGCTAAATCGACTCGGCTAGTGATCCTAATCAAGAAACGGAAACGCTTTCTGTTACCTGCGTAAAATTTCGTTTTTTAACGCAAGTCAATGCAAGTCATGTTGTAACGGCGCGAATGGCCCAACGCACCACTTGAGGATCAACAAAGGGCAAGAGCCCCACTGCAGCAACAGGAACAGCCACATTCATCTCAATCGCCCAAGGAACCCATCGACAGATCTAACTCGCAGAACCAGGCGATCAACCAAAATTGGCTCACGGAGGCGGAGGCCAGGCCGCAGGCTTGGCAGTTTTCCTGGCAGGATCTACGCATCAATGCATCGATAGACCCGCAGAGCCAGGAGAATCCTGAAAGACACGGAAAATTTAATTTTATTTTGGTGTAAGAGAAAATTTTATTTTTACATAGCTGGTATATGAAAATGATATGAACTGTTTGGAAT